TTTGATCTATAATTTTACTAGAACTACATGACGAGTGTGAGGACAAGGAATGTGTTGTTGAGTTTGACTTTCTGGGTAAAGATTCTGTGCGTTACAGGAACTTTGTGGCCATTGAAAAAAGGGTGAGTGTTGTTTATAGACAACTAGACGCATGGCGATCGTTGCTAAAACTACCCACAAGTCACATACGACTACATACGAGTAACATACGACTACATACGGGTCACATACGACTACATACAGGTTACATACGAGTAACATACGACTACATACGGGTCACATACGACTACATATGCAGGTTACATACGAGTAACATACGACTACATACGGGTCACATACGACTACATATGCAGGTTACATACGAGTAACATACGACTACATACGGGTCACATACGACTACATATGCAGGTTACATACGAGTAACATACGACTACATACGATTACAAAAAATAAAAAAACCTTAATACAAAAATAACCATCATGAAAATAATTCGTCTATATCGGCCCGGGACCCTGACAGAGTATCACGAAAAACTATATGCCGAGAGTCAAAATAATTCACCAAAATCACAGTAGAATGTAAATCCAGTCTAATCAAAGATGCTTTACTGTATTTAGGTGTAGAATAGTTTTTTGAAATATCACGCGTGGTATTTATCCCAAATACCACAAAACATGCTATTACTTATACAAATCCATGTCTTTCATCTCGTGTTATCATACTCGCCACCATAAAGATAGCACATGGAAGTTGTGAAATGTCATGTGATAGGTTTAATATAACATTCGTACCCAGTGCCTTCTAGTTTGGCCGAGGACAATTTGTGACCGAAATACGACCATGACGAAAAAGACAGCCGAAATTTAAACTCGGGATTCCTTTAGAACCCCGAGTAATAAAATTCATCAACAACCGAGAAGCTGGTTGCTTTTTGGTCTTTCTGTACCGAGAGGTTAGAGGTTGCTTTGAACAGGAGTTCCGGGGTTTAGCCTGCGAATCACTGCTGATTGTTTTCAATTAATTTTTGATACATATGCAAACTGTAGTGTACTGCTTGTGCAGGACCACTGTGCTCCTAGGACTTTACGTACACACAGGTAGTCCATCAGAAATTTCGTAAGTAGCAAGTTCTGCACTTTTTCTTTTTACTACTCCTAGAGCACAAACTCTAAAATTAATGTGTGTAACGCTACTTACGACCGCGGAAAGATACATAAGAAGTCATATACATTTGCACGTAGTAAACTACATATACATTGATCCTCTTTTCAGGCGTTTAAGAACCTCAAGCACTTCATGAAAAGAAAGCAAGAGGGTGATGAATTGTTTGATAGATTAACTGTAAGTATCAACACGGGCAAAGGAGAAAATAAACGTTTTTAGAATATATTTAGCCATAATAAGATATATTCTTTTTTTAGACAACCTCTT